GCGAAGAGCTGGAACGTTCACGGATTGTGCTGGGCTACCGGTTGACCCAAAAGCGGATGCAGAACTCCGTTTTTTTTTTCTTTGGGGGGGGGGGGGGGGGGGGGAGGGAGGGAAAATCTAAAGCAAGATAGACAGGACTCGGGTTGCGCCTTTTGTTTTTACCGCCGCAGAACCACAATGCACCGACGGCCCCTAGATGTGCGCCGCTGCGCCGACTTTTGGTTCTAAGCCGTGCTTTGAAACCGCCGCCGCGGACTTCAGTCTCGGTTGAAGCGACGGAGTGGTTCTCCAAGTTCAGGGTACAAGTGTGCCTGCTAGGGTGCGGCCTACCCTATTTCGAACCCTCGTCCTCGAGTACCGAGCCTCCTACCACCTGGCAGGCCGGTAGTTGGTGTTATTTCGGGGGATCCACCCATGTCAAATCGCCCTCCGAGAAGGGGGCAGGGGGGGGGGGGGGGGGGGCGGGCGGCGGCCGTCCCCTGTCGCCCCCCTCTTGGGTCCGCCGCTGGGTTGACACCATAGGTTGACACAGAGTATAAAAGGCTCTGGGTTGACAGAAGCCCGCGTCGCCCGCATCGGCACTGAGTGCACTTGGGCAGTTGATGCTCAAGCCTTTCATCCGCGGTTTGCCGCCAGCTTATCCGGCTGCTCGACGGCGAGGAAGCGGCGAAAGTTACCTCTGAAGTAAATGTAAATCCTTGTTCATACAGTTATCCGGTGTCAAAGTGTGGAAGGTGTCCAACGTGTATTGAGGGCGGGAACTACGAGCGTTTTGCCTTGCTTTCGTAACCGAAACCAGAACAGCGAGATAACTGCCTTGCGTACTCCAAAATGATGGAAGCAATAAGTCGTCAAAAACCCGTTTCTAGGGTTTCAAACCAAGTAAACAAGACAAATATAATTTAACTTCGTTGTCTGTATGCAGGAGGACTTATGTAACACAACAATACATTCTCGTTCCAAAACGAAAAAGAAAGTAAAACTCAGTCCGCCGTATTTGGCAGCAACTTCTCCGCTGCAAAACCTATGCTGGCAACGTAAGCGGTTTTAATATGGCAGCCTCCGCTTTGCGCCGCGTTCCCTTTCCCTCCTTCCCCCCCCTGCCTGGAACGCGTCTCCGACTGGTGTGTTTACCGGATCCAAAAAAGTGGTCCCTCGATTTCCGCCTGATGACGTCATAGAAGTGTCATGCTGTCGCCGGTCGCGATCCTGGCGGCGTCCCAATAGCTGTGGCGTATATGGCAGACGCCTGTTCTGTTGTAGGTCGCTCTCCAATGCGGCAGTCCACGGAAGCTAACGCAGCCGGAAGTTGGGACGCCTGGAACGCCGTGACAACAGCGACACTCGCGTTCGCCTGTGGTTTTCGCCAGAATTTCTACGGCCAACCGCCAGGATCGCGACATGCAACAGCATGACACTTCGACTTCTGTGACGTCATTTGTTGCCACTTAGGGACCGCTTTTGATGTATGGGCAGTTCAGGACAATAAACACACCAGTCGGAGACGCGCTCCAGGCACCATAGTGCAGCCGACCTGCGAAAGAAAGCAGACGACACGCAGACGAAATCCGTTGGCAGCAGAAGCGCCTTCGTTATGCAGACGCGTTTTTTTTTTAACGTGCTGCTTTTATTGTTCGCATTTATTTTTTATGCAAAGGCATATCACAAAAAGATTATGTTAATTTCAATGAACTATGGTGGTCGCGAGCCGTCTTGAGAACGAGGTAGCGCCATTTATCAATACGAGCGCCAAGCGCGCCCCACCACTCAACTTGGTCGTCTGCGTCGCCGCCCGCCGTTGACTCTGGCAAGTTTCTTGTCCTTATTTTTTACAGAAAGGAAGCTACGCTTTCTAATTTTCCAAAAAAAAGAAAAAAAAATCGACCTGTGAAATACATCTTTGCCGAAAAGTTTAGATTGCCACATGCAGGTGTCAACTTTTACGGTTCATTTAAGATCGCGATCCTGGCGGTTGGTCGTAGAAATGCTGACTTAGGACACCCTATATACAGCCAATGTTTATTATAGCCAGGCGCAGGGGTAGGCTAAGCGCAGGACACGCATTAAGTTCCACACATTGTTAAGGTGGGGGTATTGACGTCATTGCAGCGATCGGACACGAGCCACTATGCGAATGCTTCTGGAGCTATTGATTATCCCGAGCCAAAATCAAGTGCTCACGTAATACTCGGGTCCAGTCTACGAGCCGCATTCAAATATCGTAACGAAGCTACGGTGCTTAGAAAGGGAGGTGTCAAAATCGGCACGCGAGAGGAGAAACGGCCGGTCAGGATACAGCGGTGGCGCTGCAATCGACATGAGATGCGTCGTTCTCTCGCGTCCGCTGCGATTCGGCTGCTTTCTTGCTCACAGAGTAAGTGTCCCGTGCAATATGCATTCCTTAAAATTCCTTTGAAAGTTATGTTGATTTTGGACTTGTTTCATGTAAGACAAGAATAAACCTGCCGCTGCTTTTGTCGTCGTCGTCGTCGTCGTCGGGAACGGCGAAGAGGGAGGCTTTCTTCTCTCTCTCTCTCGCAGATATGTACCCCGTGGTGCATCGGGGAGCAAATCAGTATGCAGACATGTACAAATTACTCAAAAAAGGTAGTTAAGTTAAGTTACTGAGTATCGACGCCAAAAGTAATTGGAGTAGAGTAGAAATTACGCATTTGTAATAGTAATTGAGTAAACTACTAACTACTCTAAAAAGTAGCGAGTTACTTTGAAATTACATTCGAAGTTACTTTTTTATATTTTTGTGGTAGCAAAATGAACAGCAGTTTTGATCAATGAAAAGCCCTGCGAGCCTAAAATAAATGCAGTCTATTTAGGGCTTGCGTTTTCGCCAAAATAGTTTATTCGCTCGCAGAAGCAATTGACTTTCAAAGTTATTGATAGGAAAGTTTTTCCCGTTTCCTTCTAAAGACGTCCCCAGCCAAGCTAAATAGACGTTCCACCGACGGGCTGGATGGAACGGCAGCGTTGAATTTGAGAAACAGTCTGTGCAGGGTCGGGTAAGCGAGTGTCGGCATCTTAGGTGTCCATGAAGAAACGTGTGAGGTTTGCCTCGGTAAGAGGGTCTTTTATAACAAACTTTCCTCCTTTTTTATATTTTCTTCGTCAAGTTGAGATTGTTATGACTGGCCCCTCTTTATTCCGACATCGCTCTGAGAGTACGCTGAGCGAGTGCACCAGACCGTCAAGGGTTCAAGTCTCGCGCCACGACGATGAGATCATCCGGACGACTGCGCGTCCCGTTGTAGTGCTAGTTCCACGCTACTGCAGAAAAAAAAATTGTTTTGGTTTAACAGAAGATGAACCGAAGTATACTTCGCCGCTGACGCCAGGTCCAACAAAAGGATCTCTCAAGGGTAACTCGCAATACTCGCCGCCGACTACAATATTCTGACGTGCCTGACATGCCTGACAATTAAGTAAATCGTTTTTAACAAAGAGGAGGTCTCCCAGGCATGGATGGTCGGAAGGACGCAAAGGATTACGTGAACAAGCATCGTCGCTCGTATACAGTTGCAGCTGGAAGCGGGAACGCGCTACCATGAACAGATCATCCGTACCAGGGCTTGTGAGCGGGGGAGTCCGGCTTTGCAAAGGCGTATGCGCTGACGACAAGGCGACCATGGGAACAGGCGCCCAGCTGCGAGGTCATTCCATTGGCCCTCCCGTGGAACCTACCGCTTGAGTCAGAACTCACTAAAGACAGACAACACGAAAACAACAACTCTCGGGTCCCCGTCTTTTATGGTTGCAGCTGGAAACGCGGCGCCTGCGTGCATTACCGGATTAGGTCAATACCTGACCAAGGTTTGTTAAGCATCTCTTCCTGTGTTCGTGTGTGCCGGTGTTATGTTTTGGCTGCTCGTCGCCACCTTGGCCCAAGGACGCCTCCCCGAACAAGAGGGCCGCTTGTTCGGGGAGGCGTCCTTGCCGGCGTCTTATTCATTTCTGCGCTCAAACTTTCGTGATGGGCAAAATTAGGACTATATAATTTCGAAAGTAGTTAGTAATTTGAGTAAAAGTTACCTGAAAAAAGTAGTTAAGTTAAACTACTAATTACCCAAATCAAGTTGTAATTGAAAGTTACCAAGTTACTCGAAAAAGTAGTTAAACTACAGTAGTTTGAGTAGAGTAGTTGAACTACGTCCAAGTCTGTCAGTATGTTAGCCGTTTTGCCATCGCGGTAGTCTGAACGCATGGGGCAATCTTTCCGGGGAGAGCACCACAAACGAGCGCTTTTGGCGACGCGAATGGGCCTTTCCGAGTGCGGAATCTGCAATTGGCATCTGAGAGTCGATGAGCGCGCCACCTACTGTCGTCATGATGCACTAGCGCGCTGCCACACGAGGATCAAGTTGCGCGATGCTGACACACCTCCCCCTTCTAGCCACTATAACTGGGGGACGATGTCAACGTTACTAAATTTGCTCAGTTGCGGAACTGCCCAAAGACGCTGCTTGCTCGAGACATCGACGCCGGTAAATTTTTCTTTTATGTTTGTTTCAAAAAACATTTTTCCACAACCCAGTCCTGAAATTGAAATATCTACTGGAGTCATTCTACATATCATCAGGCAGCGATCACCCACACAAAGTCGGGATTCCGCAGTGCAGCACTAATACCTACTTTGAATCACTCATCTCTTACGTCTGCTGACTGGAATCATCGTACCACATCATGTTCCTTAATCATGTTGATATTAAAAATGCTGTAGCTGGGCTACTGGGACCTGTTTTATGAGTTTTATGTTCATTATACATTTTGTAAACCTATCCCCCTCTGTACAGTATTCAGGCCTCGAGGAAGGAAAGAAAAAAAAAGTATGTAGTACATCTTAAGATTAGGTTGCTGCAAATTTTTATAGATATTTAGAAATACAAATGGCACCCTGTTTTTTCGGCCTTTTCCTAATCGCATGGTTTCGAGCCACTGGTTGTGTCGAGACTTCGATAAATTACCCGAGTCCGATTTGTTTCTTTCAGACTTCCAGATGGCTTTCAATCGTCTGGCGCGCAAAATTATGGAAGAAGAGCGGCCCCTGCTACTCAAAGATGTGACCGAGGAGTGCACCAAGTGGTGGGCCGAGCAAGAAGCCGGCGGCTCACCCCTTGATGGCAAGGTGTTCGTGGTGCGCGCCCACAAGCCTCGATCGGAAGCCGGTAGCGTCGTGAAGTAACCGGGCTTCCCGGTTACTTCAAGAAAACGACAAGAACACATTAGAATATTAAATATACAGATATTGGGTAGAATGGGCAAGCCACATACCGGGATAAATTCGAAGATAGCATATTACGGCGAATTACGCACTGACATTCTATATTGGAGGATCGTAGAAATTGTTAGCATCAACACGAAACAGACTAGACCATGTCGGCATAAAATACTATGGAATATATTCTATAAACTGCTAGAAAATTATTCAATACTCTCAAAAACTGGGACCTCTTGCGGAAGCCGGTTTCTTTCTTCAATGGTGATCGAAAAAAATCATATAATGCTTGTAACGTTGTTAACCTTTTTTTCCCGTGATCGGAAATAATTTATATTTAAATTTATAGATCTCATACAGCGTAAGTTCAGTGATAAGTCGTGGGGTTGCCATCGTTGCTTCCACTAAGGAAAATTGTTGTCTGAGAATAAAGTTCGCGATGCCACTGAGGGAATACTTGGCTAATCATTGGAACACACGTGAGCTGACTTGTGCCTATAGATGTACGAATGCCTTTTCCATAGTGCCCGCACAAAATGAACGTTCTCAATGAAATATAAACGAGAGTTCAAAAGAAAACGGTGTGGAATCCTGTGTCTCATACGGGCACCGGACACTTCATCGAACGTCATTTCGTCGAACGCCGTTTCATCGAATAAGTGGACATTTCATCGAATGCCGATTCATCGAACGCCGTTTTATTGAATTTCCCGTTACTGAATTTTGGAGTAATACATTACTTTTTATAGAATGTGCTATCGCTTTTGAAATAGTTTTTACACCGCTCTAAATTCACCTGAAATAGAATTATTATCCGGACACTTTTTAGTCTGCTAAACGCTTGCTACTGAATCATAGAAGGTAGTTATCATTTCAAAACTTGAGTGGATACGTGACTTATTCTTTTCTGGCGAAGTAGGCGGCTGATCTGCTGCTCTGCTCCGCTGTCCTCGCGCGACGCAGCCGAGGCTGGTTGCGCTATTTTTCCACGGGGTGCGGTGCCGTGGGGGCCGAGGTGCGCTCCGATTGCAAACTGAAACTTAAAAACCCATCGAATTTGTGTTTTTCAGAGAGCCGTAAAATGCTTCGCGCGGCTTCTATCGTTCTGCGATTTGTTCATTTAGTGTTTTTCGATGACGCTGAGCAATTTTCTAATTGAAACCATGCCCTTAAGCACAATATTCAAACAGTTAATTACGCAAAAATAATTAACGATCTTAATATCCCGGACTTTAATAATTTTCCCAAATAGGCCCCTGGCCCAGGACCAAAACGACACGAGGCTTTTTGTGCTGCGAAGCGTAGTTTTCGCAATATCGAATTTGTCCACATTTCGTGAGACACCCTGTATACGCCCTTGAACGGGCGTGCGTTCATCACTGCACCTGATGATCACAGCTTTAAAAAGTCGTCAGTGTTCCCGTTTCTTATTGGCCACATTAACACAGGTAGTTACTTACTAAAAAAAGAATAGAAGATGACAAAAAGGTTTCTTCTTTTTATATATGTATACGTTTAGAAATTATAATAAATATTAAAACACTGCTATCCTCCCGACGATAAAAAGAAAAATATTTTTTACATGTAGAATTTCTACCGCTCAGGTAGGCGACGTTCGATGAAACGGCTTCGATGAAATGGCGTTCGATGAAATGGCGTCCGATAAAACTGCGTTCGATGAAACGGCTTCGATGAAACGGTGTTCGATAAAACGGCGTTCGAGGAAATGTCTGGACCCAGTCTCATACATAAATTCTACCACAAAACAAGAGTCCACGTGACACCCTTCTTTTACCCCCAGACAGGATTTCATCACACAAAATGAGCACGTGTTCGCCTAACCAAGTGTGGGAATGCGCAGAAACCGGATGCACGTGAGGTATCTGGAAACAGAAGGAGCACAGTAGAGATAAAAAATTAAGAAAAGAGACTGCTATGGTTCGGCTGTTAGTACCGGACATTATTTTTGAAAATACAGTTTGAAAGTACAGTTTGTTCGTTTTCTCGGTGGAGAGGGCATCGTTTTCTTGTGATTTTGTCGGAGATTGTAGAGTTATCTTTGTGAATCGGCATAAAGGCCGTCCATACTACCAGATTGTGTATTGGGGGGTTTGGCGTTTTGACTGTTTAGAGGTTGTCCATTTGTGTTGGTAGTGGCTGATTGGAGGGTTTGGCGTTTGAAGTGGTTAGATGTTGCCCCTTTGTGTTGGTGGTGGCTGATTGTGGGCTATATTAGGGGGCGGACTAAATAAAACTTGTAGCTGAGTTTGAGACGTCGTCCTGTCTTTTTCTGTTCCTTCGACTTATATGTTCATTTCTGCCCCAGTCTCAGGTTTATTCAACATGGTTAACGTTCACCAGCTCGCCTGCATGCACCCTTACTATTATTATCACAGTTTTATTGTCTAGCAATTGCACGTAGAGTATTGTCTTTACTGAACTTAACATTTCCCATGTCGATGTATTAACAAATAAAAGTAACGGATGTATGGGGCTAAAGAGCACCGTGATGCAGGTTAACGCCAGGTTCTGTGTTCATAAAAAATTGTTTGGTATTATAATAAAAAAAAGCTTGTTGGCTTTCTTTTGTATTGTTATAATTTGTTTTATTAGTATTTTGTAATTTTTTGTATAAATACAAAATATACGAGAATAAATTGAATGTCGCAAAGTGGTCTCCCAAGTTGTAAAATAAGTTACTTCAATGTAACCTCCGGATTGTGACTTCTAATCTCACCGATTTATGCAAACTGTATATGATGAAGAAGTCTAATTGACTTACATAATGCAAGTTTGTTAATAATGATGTGCAAAAACTTGTCCCGATTATTCTGATAAACCCAGATCGTGTCGCGCGTGCGCTACGCCTGCGTTACTAATTCTTATGGTTGGTTATGAGGGCCCTCGGTAGTTTTCGATGCGTCGCACACAACATTGTTCTCCTTGGGTTCATCAGAATTATTGAGACAATTTTAAATGTATTCAGGGCACGGCATTTTTTCGAAGAATGCTTTAATGAGAAGATTTTATGGGGCCTGCTTCTTTCGGGGGCGGTTGTAACCCCTAGAGGTTTTAGCACTGTTGGAGGGCGAGGAGCTACTTGTGGAATATGAAGCAATAGCGAGGGGAGGAGGGTTACCACACCCACTATGGTAGCTTTTGGCTGATTAGCGAAGTTGTGACGTTATACGCCTGCTGCGATACCCGTTGATGCGTTATGATCTGCCATCAATGTCGTGAGCACGTGCAGAGCTACGCTTCGTCATACGGGAACCCTTTGCGCTCGCCGGGGGCCGCCTGTCTTGTGAAGAGTCGTTCACACTCTACTCCCTGCATTTTCTATGGCAACTTTTTGGTCCGTATTCTAAGCAACTACTGAACCTCTTGAGGTCAGAGTGGTTGTATTCGAAAGACAACAAAACACTTAACAGTTTCCCAAAATTACATCTTTCGATTTTGCGTTCATGTTCTTTTTTTTTTTTTATGGGGCCTTAAATTCCTTTAGCAAAATGCCAATTTTTTTATAGCTTCCATTTTTAAGAATCCCAGGAATTAAGATGCAAGATAAATACAAATTGTAGTACCGCGTTGAATTGTAAACGCATTCGTGAATATATATCTGCTAATAGATTCCCTCTGTGCATTGTCGTTAAAGAATGAATTGAAGAAGTTTGCGCTTTCGTGAAATCCAAAAATTCGTCTGCTAAAACCATTCTTCGGGCTTTCTGCAGTGTCGTCATGTCGTGATCGTGCTTGATATACTCCACGGGGCAGTGACCAATGATTTCGTGCAGCGCTGTATTACTCTGCGGCGAGAAATTCACTGCGTGCGGTGGTCCGGTTGACATATATAATATATTCAAGTCTATGATTGTCATTTATTAGAGTTTTTTTTTTCTGGTTCAGGTTAGAGGCAGCGAGAGCTGTGGTGTTTATACTCCCTCTCAAAAATACCTGCAATGAGACAAAGCCACGGGCACGAACTAATGACCTTGGTAAGTGCCCTCTATGCGCCAATAGGCCGCCCTCACCAGCCAGTCTCACTACGCCTCAGAATGCCGCGATGCATGGAGGGAACTTTGGTCGTTCTGCACGCGCGACAACCTCGCTGGAGCTCTGCGCTTGAAGAGCACGAGACGGCCCGAGCTTTCTCGTGCACTGCCGTCTGCCTCCTGTAAACTAAAGTTATGGCGGCGTTACGCATGCGCCGAACGTTTAGTGAGATTGGACTATTGCACAAACAAAAACATTCGGCAGATCTAGGCTCACGCTGTGTGCCCAGCCTTGTATGTATTACTATACACCATTCCAATATTTGCCATTCCTCAGCCCAGCACGCGCCTGTTCGTCGGTTCGAACAACTACTAAATCACGTGCCACACGCGCGAACACGGAAAATGGAACCGGCCATGAGTCTTTTTTCCAGAAATGTTTATTCGGGAGGAGATCCGACAGTTACGCCTCTAGTGGTGCTCTTGAGCTGTGGGGCCAAGAAACCGTCTTTTCTTGTTTGTTTTTGACCCGAGAGATCGAAGATGACGATTCGAAGGCCGGTCCTGGTGCAACTAAAGCACAGGTCAAAGCGAAGTGCTCGATCCCAGACCATACTAGGCGGGGTTCAATTTCTTTATAATGTTTGTAGACGCCGGGCTGTGTGGACAACAAGCTCAATAAAGCGCCCCCTATAGTTCAATTTCCTGCCCAATATCTTTTCTTCACTTCATGGGGGGTGAAGTCGAATTAAGCTACAAGCACGGCGCATGTTACTTTGAACGATGCTTGCACTGCACGAGTGCGCGTGCTTGGCAGGGGCTCGGAGTTTGCCCTTGTAGCTTCTGCTACGCTGGTGGCAGTCATTGTGCTTTCCCCCCCCTCCCCCCCCCCCTAAAGTTTCTTTATTTCAGTGCAGAACGAAGACTATTGGTGTTACGTCAATGCTCATATGAGATGTCTATGTAGTGCGTGCAAGGACGCGTACTAGAAGCAGTTTCAAAAGCCACAAGCTGGTTGCTTTCCGGGCTCCAAATGGAGACTGAAATATCCATAGCATATAAAAAAATGAGCCGAAACCGCTGCTAACGCCACGTTGATACTCGAAGAACTGTGTAAACTTTTCGTGCAGCGGTTATACAGTGTTTCTGAAATAAATACCCAGGTTCGATTTAAAATGGGTCGTTAAAATTGATGCCTGCGGGTATCAAAGTAAACCTTCCGTGAAAAGTGGATTTCACAGTTCGGTTTTAGCTTGTAAAATACAAAGTGTAGCTCCCTTTTAGTAAAGCAAATAGGGCCAAAAGCTTGCCAGGGTCAACGGCGGACGACAACCCAGACGACCGAGACGAGTGGCGGGGTGCGCTTTGCGCACGTATTGATAGATGGCGCTACCTCCTTATCGAATCTGCTTGCGACCACCGTAGTCTAATAAAATGAACAGAATAATTTTGTAATGCACGTTAGTTTAAGAAATAACGTAAACAGTGATAGCAGAAGTTGAAGTTACAAGAATAAAAGAAAACGCGGCTCCATAACGACGACGCCAACGGCAATCTTGCTTCCGACGGATTTCGTCTGCGTGCTCTCTGTTTACTTTCGCCGAGCGGCTCGAACTACGCTTTGTAATTTTGCAAGATAAAACCGAACTGCGAAATAGACCATTGACAAAAAGTTTAGATCGTTATGTGCAGGCGCCGATTTTTACAGCCCATTTAGATCAGGCTTTGGTACCTCTCAGCACGTTTCCGCGGGCTAAACATTCCCGAAATCCCTCTTCTCACTGGTGCAAGCAAATCAAGTCACTTAACGGTGGCATGACCGACGTGCGCGCGATGCGAGGAAAACGACAGAGCCATTTCGTTGTCGTCCACAGAGTGTGGAACCGAAAGTTTTATCGGGTCAGTTAGGGTTCGGGTTAATGGCTTTCGGTTTAGTTTTATTCAGTTCCAGGGAGCAAAAATAATGGTTGAAACCGTTTTGAACCGCTCAATATAAAATATATTTTCCTCGTTGTATTCGCAATAGGCACTATTTCCGCCGTGAGATGAGTAATTCATCATTCCTCAAATAAGAAATTGCGTTATTTATTTTGACGCAAAAAAAAACAAAAAAAAATA